CTTGTTGCGCTGGAACTCCCCAACGTTGAAGAGCTTCAAGAAGCAGCAAAACGAGCACATGACTCCGCCGCAGGTCCAGACGGCCTTCCTTACAAAGCTTGGACTTCTACTCCCAACAGCTTCGAGATCCTGGAAGAGCCCGTGGCTAACATCTCGGCCAACAACATCACCCCGCACGATTGGAACCACGCTCTACTAGCCATGCTGCCAAAGGTGATGCACCTGCTGGGCATGCTGAATGCTATCGGTCGCCAGACCAACTCCGCCCTCTCGCGATGAAGAACACCGACGTCAAGATTGCTGCCTCCGCCATCAACCGCAAGCTACATCCGATAGTCAAGCAAGTGTCGAGTATCCAACGAGGCGTTGTACCTGGCCGCCAATTCTTCAACAACATAGTCGAAGCCGACGCGTACAGCCGCATCTACAGCACCATGGACAACGCCACCGAGCACATGCCGTGCTTCCTCAGTATGGACATCGCCGCAGCCTTCCCAAGCTTGCTTCACGCTTGGTTATGGGAAGTGATTCGCAGATGGGGGATTGATGGCCGCGTCCGTCGCCTCCTCCAGTCCTTCTACGCCTCGCCCATCGCCTTCCTCGAGCTGGGAGGCACACGTCGGCCATTACTCGTTGCAGCCAGCGGAGTAGCTCAGGGCTGCCCACTCAGTGGCACCATCTGGGCCCTGGTGTTCGACCCCATTCTACGTGGAATTCAACGCCACTTTCATCAGATTGGCCGTGGCATGGCCAGTGCTTGTGCCGATGACATTGGCTGCGTCTTAGCACACTTGCGTGACATGCAAGGCGTCCTACCGCATACCGAGTCAGCCCAATCTTTCGCAGGACTGTTGCTCCAACCTCGGAAGTGGGTGCTCGTCCCAGTATGGACCAACTGCATCGAAGACGTTGACAACACCATGCGCGACACGCTCAGGACGATCAACCCCGCATGGGCCCAGTTCAAGATCGACGGCAAGGCCAAGTACCTCGGAGTCTACATCGGCCCCTGTGCTGATGATCGTGCGCAATGGGCCGCCCCTGCCGCCAAGTGGTACCAGCGTGCCCAGATTTTGGGCGACGCCTCCGCGGCCATCCAGATGAACGTTTCGCTGTGCAACACTTCCGCGATCACCTGCCCCACCCGCGTCGGACAACTGTTTCCTGCTCCAGAACCCGTTCTTTCCAAAGAAATTCATGCCCTTCATAAAGTCATCAGATCTGCTCCTTCAGCATTCACCAAGCTCGACATCCTCGGCATGACGAACTGGGCGGGCTGCGCCATCCCCATTGGTGTCGAAGTCTTGCTTGCTGCCACGCTGTGGCGCTCTGCCACTTCCACCATCAACGCCTGGCCCCAGCTTCTCGAACTACACCATCTTGCTGCACTCGATTAGATTCCACTCGTCCGAGTTGCCCAGGGACTTTGGACCGCGCCGTGCTGGGCCTCCGCCACTTCGATCGCGCAACGCCTGCGGGCGGCCAAGTTCGGCGACAACTACTCCACCCACAAGGGCACCATCTTCAAGATCATCAAGCGCAGCCGCCATCACGATCATCTGGCTCACCGTCAGCTGCGCCAAGCTCATGAACTCGCTCGTGCTGCGGCTCTTCGTGTCATGGACAAACTTCGCCGTGCTGATGATGATCCTCCAAAGAAATCACCGCAGACCACGTACATGATCACGCTGCAGCGCTCGCTCTACGAAGATTCCTTCGACGCCACCATCGCCGCCCGCCTTCGGGCCTGGTTCCCCGCCCTCCCGTCGGTGCCGTCTGCTGCCAATTCCGACTCTGGGCGCCTCCGACGATTTCCACCATTTCATCTACATGTTCCCAACACGCCAGATGATGATGACAATGACATGCGTAACGCAGCCAACGAGCTCGAGATCATCGCAGAATGCCTGCAGCACTGGGCCTCCGACTGGCCCCCCTCGATTTACCTCGATCAACCACTACATGAATGGGACGCCGACGATTGGCATGAATGGTGCGTAACCTGTATTCTTCGTCATCTCCGTCGCGGCGGTCTTCAAGTCCTATTTCGTGGCCAAACTGATGCTCGGCTCCGTCGGCGTGCCGAACGTATTTGTACGCAGGCATGGCAGTCAACTGCGGCATCCAGACTCCAGACTTCCGCTGCGTTCAATCTCCCCCGCACCGCCGAACTACAGCAGAGGTTCGAACGCGCAGCCAATGAACATCATGCCCGGCGTCGCTGGATCCACGACGCCGACTTCCAGAACAATGACTCGGACTCCACTCCCATGATCACCGACGACCTCACCAACGCATGCGCGGACGACAACGACATGACCTCCCTCATCCAGTTACCGTTCAACATGAAGATCGCATGGAGCCGCTTCCGCCCGAAGATCGCCGAGTTGCCGCCATCGCGCTTTTGGCCTGTGATGAAGACACTATCGGGCGGGTGGGCCACGTCATATCGCATGCACGTGCAGCCCGTCCTTCGTGGTTGCGTTCTTGGCTGCAACCCAAAGTTCCACCCCGACGCCTTCAGTCACTATCTGGTCTGCAAGCGCTTGCGGCACCATGCTGCACTGCCTCGTGGACGACTTCACAAATGCGCACTCGCCAGGCTTGGCCTGCACGACATCAATTTCGACCCGCTCGGGCCCGATGACGACAAGATTGACCATGTGCTCATCCGTCTTGCCGTGGTCTACAGGTTTTACCACACGATCAAGATCGATGGCAACGTCGACGACTCGTACAACATCCACAAGAACTACATGCAGGCCTCTCGCCTCGCCCTGAGGCTGGGCCCGAGCGTGCGCGGCGGTGCGCGCCCATTATAGATCGACGCGCCTCTCCCAGGGGTTCGTTCGCTCCTCCTCCTCCTCCTCCTCCTCCTCCCCCTCCTCCTGCCTCCGCCGGGCTGCCCGCGCCCCAGGTTGAAGCATGTCTCAGATGTTGATGGACCTCCTAATGGAGGATGGCGATTAATAAATGACCGGGGGTCGTGTTCACGCGGCGGCGCCCGGGATGGCGATTAGCAAAAACCGGCCGCGGGCTGGAAAACTATGTTTTAATCGTCCTCCTCCAGTCAGAAACTTGTGCAGAAATAGCAGAAAGCTATTTTGTAATGTTTCTCTTTCATTTTTTATTTAATCGCTTCGCTCATGCCGCCGGCCCTGGAGCCCTCTTTAGGGCCTCTTGGGGACCTCTTGGGAGTCTCTTGGGGCTCCTTGGCGGCTTATTGGAGGCCCCCAGGGCCTCTTGGGGGGCTCTTGGGGGTAGTCGATTGCGGCTCCCCCCTCGGAGGCCACGATCCTCGTGAGGGGTGTCGAAAAATACCCTCCCCTGGAGTGGTCCGGTGGCTTCTCCCGGGCTTCTCTCGGGACCTTGCCGGGGTACTTTTCGTCCGGGGGCCCCCAGGCGCCGCTCCGCGCGCGCGAACTAGAAATATTGTTAACAAGTTACCGGAGATCTTAGCACGCCTCTGGCCCATTGGGCCGGCGAATTAATCGCCACCCCGCATTGCCCTGACACGTCGATTAAGGAATTGGCCGTTTTCGGTTCGCGAGAGGGCGTCGCGGCCGTCATTGTTGCGGGTCCAGGTCCGTCGGTTTCGGTCCCAGGTCGTTTTCGCTGAGGGGAGGTTTACTAAAGGGAGGTTTGTCCAGCGCCGAATATCCCCATCCCTGTGTCGGGCATCACTCGAGTTGGCCCAAAAGGGGTCCAGCGGCAAGGGGGTGGTGCAATATATTTGGTGCAATATATGTGTGGGGCTGCAATGAAACTTGGGGCGTGGAATACATGGGCGCAGATGTGTTGCTGGATTTTTGCGCGCAATACATTATTCGCAATACAATGCAATACCATTCTCCAGCGCAATACTTTTGCAACAAAATTGCCCCAAATCGATTGCACCACCCCTTTTTAGCTGGATCCCCTTATAGGTCACCCAGAATCCTTGTGCTTGGCACCACCTCACCTCGATGCCGATCTTAAGGCTTCCCCCAGTTTCGGGGGGCACATGCCTAAGATTGTCCTCGCTTAGGAGGAGGAGGAGGAGGAGGAGAAGGAGGAGGAGAAGGAGGAGGAGGAAGAGGAAAAGGAGGAGGAGGAGGAGGAAGAAGGAGGAGGAGAAGGAGGAGGAGGAGGAGGAGGAGGAGAAACAGCTTTTTGCTCGCCCGTCATATAGGGATACGTATCAGCTCGAGCCTGGTCGTGCTCCGCCCAGCGGCCGCCCGCCGTCGCCGCCGCCATTGGCCGCCGTCGGCAGACGAGCGCCGCCGCCGTGGTCGTCGACCGCTGCGGTCGTGGCCGGCCGTGGTCGGCCGTCGGCTGTTCGGAAAACGCCGACGTGATCGCGTCGTGGAAAAATCACGACGGGAGGTTCTGATGGGCTATTTTCGGCCTCCCGAGGCCCTCGCTGGGCCCCGGGGCCGTCAGAACATGGCTCAGGACATGATCGCGTCGTGACAAAAAATAGATCACGGCGGGAGGTTTTGGCTGATTTGCGGCCTCCGGAGGCCCTCGCCGGGCCCCGGGACCGTCAAAACGTGATGCAGGATGAACAGCCGGTCCTGGGGAAAGGGACCGCGCGCCGCGCACTCAAAAAATGAGGACGTCGCATGTCTGGATAATGGGCGGGGCGATCAATGGGCTTGGCATCGCTTGCCCGCGTACATTCTTCCTGGGCGAGGACCATCGAGCAGCACATTGGATCATGGATCATCTTACGAAACAAAAAGCGGGGAGGAGGAAGAGAAGGGGGATGAGGAGGAGGAGAAGGAGGGAAAGGGAGGGTGAGGGAGATCAGGGCGGGGAGGAGGAGGGAGGAGGAGAGAGCAGGATGAGGAGGAGGAGGAGGAGGAGGAGGAGGAGGAGGAGCAGCAGCAGCAGCAGCAGCAGCAGGAGGGGAGGAGGAGGAGGAGGAGGAGGAGGAGGAGGAGGAGGAGGAGGTGGAACCCTCCTTCGTTCCTCCGTCATCGTCCTCCCTTCCTCCGCCGCCGCCGCCGCTCCTTCAGGCGTGCCAGCGGCCGGCCGCCGCGCGCTTCGTGCGCGTCTCCGGGTCGCCGCCGCCCCCGGCGGGCTCCGGCGAGCGGCGGGCCAGCGCGCAGATGGCGTGCCATCGGAAGACGCCCTGGCGCTGCCCTTAGCGTAGGTCGGGCATGTTCTCCTAAAGGCGGGTTTTCGAGGACAAGTTATACATGGTCAACAAACAGGCAAAGTAGTCAAAAGTGCTACGAAAAATCGTCCCCAGACTATTTTGTTGACTATTTTTGAATAGTCATCCTGTAGATGAACATGCCCGACTCAACCCTTGGCTCGGGCCGGGCGAAAGGGGGGGATTGGGAAAGGGGGGGTTACGAAATTTGCTGCATGCAGCTGGTTTCGGCCTCACCGAGGGGCCCATTCCTCGATACATGGGCGCCTCCCGGCGCCGGGCGACGCCGGGAAAATCAGCTACGTGAGCTGATTCTCAAACCCCCCCTTTGCTATCCCCCCCTTTCGCCCGACTCAACCCTTGGCCGCCGTCGCCGCCGCCGTCATCGTCTCACCGCCGGCGGCGCCATCGTCGCTTCGATCGAGGGCGCCCTCTCGGCGAGTCGTCGCCGCCCCCCTGCCTTTTGCGGGAGCCTGTGTGGCCAAACTCGGATTCACGAAGGTGAAGCAAAGTTAGACTCCCTGGTGCCCCTCGTCGTGTCTCACTCTCGCGCGCGCTCGCCGCGTGTCTGCCGCTGTTTGGGGCTCAAGACGGAGGAAGGGAGCAGGAGCTAACGTGGCGGCCAGAGCTCGACCAAGCTATCGGACAAATGACGCGTAATCCCCCCAACCGTTGTGGAAACATTTCGGGGAGCACGCGGGGGAGAAAGCAGAAGAGGAGGAGAGCACAGCCGTCACTGAACCTGGATATATATATATATATATATATATATATATATATATATATAGGAACAGCACGAAACAGACAAGCAAACAGCTACGATCAGAAACGGGCCACGTTTGTACATATTTCGCCCCCAGGGAATATTGTTTTCTCCAATTGCGCGGTTTCATCGACACTGGCAGACAGCGTGCATTTCGAAGAAGGGACAAAGAACAAACATATGTGGTCAATGGTTGAGTTGTCCTTTTCGCTTTTGAGCTAAATTTGCCAAAGTGTTGCGGCATAATCTTCGGATCAGCTTCGAAATGAGACCTTGCTTCGGTGCATCGCGACGAATCGCCAATGTATCATCTGCAGTTGAGATGGATGCAGCAAAGTATTGGGTCACTGCAAGATCTTCAAGGTAGCTAAATTATCTGAAACGCGTATAATTGTTCGCGCCCGCTTCGCTCGAAAGTGAGCTGCCACCAGGGCTTGGAGGCATGTTGGGGGCTTCCTTGGGCCTCTTGAGGGCCTTTGGAGGCTCCTTCGGAGGGTCTTTGGAAATCCGAGGGCGTTCCTGGCCCGCCTGACGCAATCGAATACCGTCTTGCGGGCCTCTTGGGCCGTCTTGGGCCGTGTGGCGGCCGGCAGCGGTTCCGATTCCACCTTCTCCTCTTCCGACGGTTGTTTCGGTTCCAACCCGAATTCCGACTCAAGCTCAAATTCCAGTTGCCATTACGTCTCTGATTTTTGTTCCACTGATTCCCGCCCCAGAATTCAACGCATGCCCTTGGAGCGGGGCGTTGCGCAGCTGGGTTCTTGACATACCTGTACCCAGTACCCGTCTCCAGGCGCCCTTCGGCCTTCACCCAGCCTGGGGAGGGCCAGCACTCCCACCTGCCCTACTGTGAGACCCCGCGTGTCTTTACCCTCCTCCTTTCCTTCCTCCCTCCGTCTTAGGCGTGGTAGGGATCCGGGCCTTTTTTTCCGATCGTACGCCCTGATTTGTAATTTGTGATGGCTGCCTTCACTCGATATATTTTATACAGCACCCTTCTAGAAGCCCGATGTTTCAACTATGTTAGTGGAGTGTGGGCCCACTTGAGGTCCGCACACAGCGCTCTGCTGTGTTCTTTAGTCCTCTGTCTCATCCTCTTCTTCGTCCTCCCCCTTTCTGGCGGTGCCGTTGTGCACCGAGTCCCTGGCAGCCACAATGTTGGTCTGCTGCCGGGCTGAGGGCCGCAATTCATGGTTTTCTTGTTGCGTGTTGCTGCTCTTGAGTTACTATTCGGGGTGCGCCTTAGGGGCGCGCCTCTTTGGCCCCCGCTTGCGGTCTCTGCGTTGTCCTCCTCCTCCGCCTCCTGTTTCACGCTTCTCCACCGCGCACTGTGTTGGCAAGCTCAGGGGGGGCAGGCTTGTTTCCAGCGAGGGAGGGAAGGAGCAAACGAACTTCAAAATTCTAGACACTTCGCGCATCCCCACCAGGCTTCCATGGCGCATCCGACGGACTTGACGCTTTGCACGCTCGCAGTTCCCCTCAGTCTCAGTCTCTTCAGCCACCCACCTGAGGCTTCGGCTGGCGCGTAGTTGTTGCCTCGTGCGTTGCCTCTGCTTTAATTTTCTCGCGTTCCCTCTGCCGAACTAGTCTCTGCGTAGCCCGCTTTGACCTGACTCGCCGCCGGCGCGCTCGCCCGCGGCCGCTGACTAAAAAGTGTCTCCGCCAGCGCTGCCTAGTCGCGGCCCGACTCGTGTTCGGACGGCTTTCGGCCCGCCTCGCGAGCCTGTTGATCAAAATCCCCACCAGCCCATGCAGAAATGATGTCCTGGCGAGTTGCGCCGATCAGGGAAGTGCGGGAGCAAAGAGGGGGACGGCCCGGGGACGGCCGAACCGTGCGAAGGAAGGAGGAGGAGAAGGAAGAGGCTGGACGGATGGATGAGGGGGTGGGGAGAAGGAGGATGAAGAGGAGGAGGAGGAGGAGGAGGTGGAGGAGGAGGAGGAGGATGAAGAGGAGGAGGAGGAGGAGGAGAAGGAGGAGGAAGAGGAGGAGGAAAAGGAGGAAGAGGAGCAGAAGGAGGAGGGTAAGCAAAACGGCCAGAGGTCTCTTGGATGCCTCTTGGAGCATCTTGGGATATCTCTTGGGCGCATTTTGGTGGCCTCTTGGGGCGTTTTGGGGGTCCCTTGGCGGTCCTGGGGGGCTCTTGGGCGTTTTGTGTGCCTCTCGGTGTTATTTTGGGGCCGCTTGGGGTCCTCTTGGGGGCCTCCTGGGGGCATCTTGGGGGCCTCTTGGGGCCATTTTGGGGCCATTTTGGGGCCTGTTCTGGGCGCTTCTTGGGGCCATCTTGGACGACATCGATCAGAGAAGACGGGAGTTACGCCCCCCCCCCCCCCCCCCCCCCGCCCCCCAAGAGGCTCAAATGGGGCCACAACCCTTAGTAAAACCAATGATTGTGGCTTCCTCGCCGAGGCCGTTTGGGATTTTCCAAAGGGTCGCGGCACCGTCCGTCCAGGTTCAGGGGAAGGGGTAGGGGGAGGGGGCGAGCTACCCACCCGCCCGCAAGCCGTCTAGCTCACTCCCACCCGCCCTCCCTACACATAAGTAACGCCCGAGCCTGAACAGGTTCAGCGGTCGTCTTTGGATGGGCAGCTACGGGGAACGAAGGCCGACCCCAGGTGCGCGACGCTTGGAGGAGGTGCGCCACGCGTGCCAGGGGCGCGACGCGCGCCAGGCACCTGTGGGGCCCTAGCGTGCCAGGCGCGCCTGGTGCCCCAGATGCGCCACGTGCTCCGAGTGCGCAAGGTATGCCGCACACTCCAGCCGCGCCAGGTGCGCCGCGTTCGGGGCACGTGCAGAGTGCGTCACGTGCGCCTGCGCACGTGACAGCACACATCGGGAAACATGTCGGCCCCCACCATCCTTGTCGAAAACCGATGCCCATCATTGTGTCTAGTGGGCCTGCGCACAGCAGGCCACGCGCCACCACCTCCGCCATCCCTGTCAAAAACCATTTGGCAGTGATCGCGGGATGGCCGCGCATGACCCAGATTTAGCCGCGAGGTGCATGCTGTATGGATTGTTTCTTGTCAGGGATGGTAGCCCTGCGCGCAGCAGGGAATATGCTGGCCCCCCCGCCGTCCCTGTCAAAAACACTAGATAGTGCTCGCGGGCCTCACGAACAGGATTCAAGATGTTACCCCAAATGATATTTTGCATTTTTTGTTGAAAGGGATGTTGGGGGGGAGCCGCTTCGGGTTGGCCGCGCATGCTCCAAATGCAAAGGCAGAGTGCGGCGTGTATGTGTTTTGACAGGGATGGCGGGGGGCGGGTGGGCATGGTGTCGGCATGGTGTTGGGTTGGCCCCCGGTCGCCTGGGGGAGTGGGTGTATACTAATAAGGAACAGTGGTGAACCTTTCCCCGAAGGGGAAGAAGGGGGTTGGAAGAGGAGCCGCCCCAGACCACCTACGCCCAGAGGGTTGGTGGGAAATGTCAAGCCCCTTTGGGGACTCAACGGTTTTAGCTCCTTCGGGCCTTCCTGGAGGACCTCGTGGAGGCCTCTTCTCTTGGAGGCCTTGGGGAGGCCTCTTGGGGTTTTGGGCCATCTGCAGGCAAACTTACTGCGTCTTGGCTGCATCTTGGCTCGTGCTGGAAACATTTTGCTGTCATTGTTGGGCCCCTTTGGAGCCTTTTTAGCTGCTTGGAGGCCATCTTGGGCGTCTTGGGAGCATCTGGCACCGCCTTGGGGCCCTCTTGAGGCCGTCTTTGGGGCCTTCTGTGCCGTCAATGGGGCAATCGTGGAGGCCTCCTGGGCACTCTTGGGGCGATCTTGGAGGCACCTTGAGCCGTTTTGGGCCGTCGGAAGGCCGAAACGAGCAAACGCCAGAGTCCTTCAACCACCCAGGACAAACTAATGATTTGGGCTTCGTCAGGCCATCTTGAAGAACCTCTTGGAGGCCTCCTGGGCCGTCTTCTTGAGGCCATCTTGGTCAGGCCGTCTTGGGTCATCTCGAGGCCATCTTCGGCCGTCGTGGGTGCACCTTGGGCCGCCTTGAAGACACCTCGCGGCCGCACTGGGCCCTCTTAGGGTCATCTTGGCTGTCTTGGAGGCCATCATGGGCCCAGGGGCTCTCCGAACGAGCGCCTTCTGGGGCCGCCCCAGTGGGCGCTCGCTCGGAGAGCCTCTGGGGCCCCTTCTGGGAGAGCCGCTGGCGCTTTCCGAGACAGCGGTGGGGGTCCCCTGAGGAAAGCCCCATGGAGCTTGCGGCCACTTGCAAGCG